TTTTGTGTTTGTGGTTATGTGTTTGTGATTGTGTCTTTGTAGTTGTGTTTGTAGTTGTGTGTTTGTGATTGTGTTTGTGATTGTGGGTTTGTGATTGTGTTTGTGGTTGTGTGTTTGTGGTTGCGCGTTTGTGGTCGTGTGTTTGTGATTGTGTGTTTGTGGATTTTATCTGGCAAACTATCTGGTTGAGGTCCAGCGGTGCACACTGCGATCGGATCCTTGCGGTTGAGGTCCAGGGGTGCACACTGCGATCGGATCCTTGCGGTTGAGGTCCAGGGGTGCACACTGCGATCGGATCCTTGCGGTTGAGGCCCAGGGGTGCACACTGCGATCCGGAGCTGGCCAGACAAGATCGGCGAAGCAGATTGGCGAAGCAGATTCGCGATGAAGATTGGCGAGGAAGGAAGCAAGGAGGAAGGAGGAAGGAAGGAGGAGGAGGAGGCGGAGGAGGAAGAACAACTGTGATAAAATCTAACAACCCTCACCTGGCAGGTGGGGAACAACCCTCACCTGGCAGGTGGGGAAAAACAAGAACACATGGATGAGAAAAGATGGACGGAACATCTTGGAACCCCTGTGGTGGGGATTGCTGTACCTTGAGATTCATGTTACTTCATATCCCCCAGGTCTTTTTAAAGGTTCCCTTGTCGGAACAAATGCGTTTTTGTCCAGTGTCATGGGCGAAAAACCACGGGCAACTGGAGGACTGGAGGGTGGAAAACCATGGGCTACTGGTCCTCGACACATCCTACTCTCTCTCCAGCAGCGCTCCTGGTCCTCGACCGCGGGTCGTTGGAACCTCCACGACCCGACCTACTCACCCCACGGAGCGGGTGAAGACTCAGTGAATGGGATGGCCCGTTGGGATGACCACCAAGGCGCGTGGCTCGAATTGGTTTATATATATATATATTTACATAAACGTGAATTAAACCTGTTAAACAGGTGGATAGAGTGAGTCATGATAAGGAAATACCGGCCATTTTGTAGTGTTTGTTTGAGTTTGCTGTTTCCAGAGAGGAACTTGGACATCATTTTGAGTCCCATGCGGCCCATGCTGCTCTCCATAGCTGTCCCGATGTGCCCATATGTCCCCCCCAGGTCCCTCGTTGGACGTCCCATGTGCTTCTCCATCACCATCCTGCCGAACAATTTCAGGGAGTACTGTCCAATTACAGTAACGATTTGTGCTCTCAAACCAACAAGGCCCAACTATTTATTGCGGATTTTCCATATACTACAATCTTCACTGTCACAGAATGACATTGTGTGTCCCAGTTGAGCAATACCATGGACAATACTATTGCCTTTTTCAAGTTGGTCAGGCCGTTAAGCCTGTGTGGCTTCACCAGCAGATGTGGGGCAGCCCAGTGGAATGGAAACAATGTAGATCGGTGAAAGCATGTGAAACCCTTTCTCCCCAAACAAGGGTGCCTCCCCATTCATACTCGATGGAACAGACAAAGAGAACACATGTCGATACATGCTGTAGTTGTCGTTGTTGGTCGTGTCCTTGTCCTTCATGACTTCTGGCCCCCAGTGCTCGGGTTTGATATTTTTTTTCATGCCAGAAGAGAACATGAAGGCATGGCTGGCATTTGAGATTTACCTGAGAGTTCAAAACACAACCGATCCACGGGGACGTATCGGACGGGGACGTATCGGACGGGAACGCATCCGACCGGGTCGACCGCACCCGGTGGGTCCGGTCGGTCCGTGCGGCCAGGGAGTGGTTTTCATTTGGTAGGGATCTTGATCTTGGGATTCCATATAGGTTCCCTTCAAAAGAGGTGGCCCTGAAAACTTGTCAGACCAAACAGGTGGTTTTGCTCCACTTCCGTGTCACGTGAGTCAGAGTGTATGTGTTCAAACACTGATTCATGATCATTCGGAGGCCGGTATGCAAGTGTTACTGGATGAGCGCAGGTCCCACACTCGGTGGACTGAGCTGGTTTCTAGCCTTGTTTGGTCGAGAAAGAGGATAACGGTTGAAAAGAAATATATATGACTTCAGGAATGGCTCAATAGTTTCATAGCAAAGAGATGCAAAGAGTATACATCGTTTATATTTTTCGTCCTGCGCCCTGTTGATCGGTAGCTAGCAAGTCTTTGTACATCTTTGTACCATATATAGTGGTCTTTGGCTTTGGGTTGAATGCTCTTCAGTAACCTGACCTGCTAGGCCACGGATGTTGACAGACGAGGCCACGGGCCCAGCCTGTCGGTGAAGCCCAGCCTGCTTGAGTCCAAGTCAAAGGGTTTGCTTTGCTTTCAACCCGATGGCCTTGAAAACCGTGGGGAAGAATTCGTACAGAAAAGCCTCAGAAGCCATCTCCAGCATCTCCATCCACCGATCAACCGATCCATCTTCTCGCAGGTGAGCACCGATTCGGACCCACAGGAGCCGACGTTCGCACCGATCGGTGTGAAGGGTCGGACGAAAAAGGCACGTCACGAAGGTCACGAAATGAGAATGAAGAAGCGACGAACGGAGCATTTTGGGCCTCGCTACGCTACGAACGGGGCTCCTGGCCTTACTACGAACGGAGCAATGTTCGCTAGTAGAATGAAGACAGTGCACTGGGCAGACAGCGAACACCGGATACTCATCGAGTTCTCCATCCCACGGGGCCAGCAATGTCGCAGGAATTCGGGGGATATATGTCACCGGTCACAGCCACTTGGACCTCGATTGCTCGTGGGTCGGGTCGAGGGGCCAGTGGGAGTACTTTCCGCGGAATGAAGGTAGTTGATTTGGGGAATCCGCAGTTGTGTAGCTGTCAGACTGCCAGGTCTCCAAGACTCCATGCTTGGATGCCGAAGATTTCTTCTTCCGTACCTCCGGGAACCAAGGACCAGGCCACGGTTTGGTACCATGTTTGTCCCCCCAAGCCGGGTCCTAAGAAAGTCGCATTGACGATACTGTGGATCCAAATGTTGGGATATAGCTAGGCCACCAGTCAGAGCTGTTCGGATATTGCTGACTCTTGCTGAAGCGATATCGCATGGCACCTAGGCGGTTGGAGACACCAATCGAAACCAGCTCAGGTGGCTGGTTTCGGGTGATGAACCAAGAGGCCTCCAGACCCCCTTCGCGGCTCCGCACATCGCCGCACGGGCTTCAAATGGAGCGTGGTTTTTGATGAGAACAGCCTATAGGCTGAAGTATGCTGAAGTATTAAGTGATCTTAAGTGAATTCATTTTATAGAGGGTGCGTGCCCCATCGCCTCCCCCAAAAGAAAACAAAAGACCACAGATTGTATCTATTGACCAAGGTTGGATTCCAAGATATTCCAAGGATCATGGAATCCATGATCGGGAAAAGGAGAATAGTTGAGTAGGTCGCCCCTGCTATCAAGTTGTTGCGATGAGGACACTTAAAGTATCACAGAATTGATCCAGATGTACGGGGCGTTGGGAGCAAGATGAGGGCGTTTTATTGACAATTTGGATCATCATACAATACAGATTAGGGACAGGCAGTAGGAGGAGACTCTTTCCTGCGACACTTCGAATCAGCGGTGCCAGTGTTGTCTGGGCAGGCACGGACTGGTTGTAATTCTTTTGACACACCGCCGTAGCTATTTGTAGCTGGCCTTGCAATGGGGAAACGTGTGGTCACGGTGTTTCGGCTCTAAAGTAGAGTGTTATTTTCTTCCATTGAGCCCTGTTGTCCCAGTCCCAGCGCGAGTATTTGACATCTCACATGGGTGAGGGGGCTAAGCTGTATGCCACAACGTAAGTCCAACAGAAGGTTGATGCTGGATCGATCATGTGAGAGCATGTGTGGTGCAGATGGGTTTACGGCATGGTTTTCATCAAAGGCTGAACAGTTCGTTTTGAGCTCTTGAGGATGGGACACCTGCTCTCCACCCTTCCTTCCGCTAAAAGCGGTGCCTCGCGGGGTGGATGAAGATTCGGCTCCGTCTCGATGTTCATGCTGGCGGCTTCTGAGGACAAGGAGTACAATCTGATTGACCCTTTGCCACTTGGAATGAAATTGTTTTGTTGTACTTAATTATTTTTGGTTATTAATTTGTCTATAGGGGGTGGGCCGTAGTAGCTAACAAGTAGCTTGTTATATTTGCGGACGCAGGAAAGCTCTGCCAAATTTCACAATCCCCCCCTAGGTACCATCGTGAAGGCGCCACTTTTATGACATGTCGTGTAAAAGACTGGGGGCTGAAGACAGCTAGACGGAACACATTGAGAAAGGACAGCCTGAGGGCGGTGGGGAGCTTCCGAAGAAGCGCTCGCACGATTCATGTGGTTTCCTAGAGTTGTAGGGAAATTGTCATAAATATACTTTGTACGGGAAACTTGTACACCATACTTTGTGGGGGGAAACTTGTAGGAAAAACGTATATACTGTATAATACTGTATATTATATAATATATCATTGTTCTTTGGTGTCCTCTGGTGTTCTGCAGAGCATGTAGTTGCCCCCATGGGCAGATTGGCTGAAGCAAATCTGGTCTACAAAACATGTTGGATCATGTTGGTACGCATAACAATGTTGAGTTTTCTGAACACAATGATGTGTTTTCCTTCGGGCAAGAAAAGAAAGGATTCAGGAAAGTATGTTACATGACACAACTCAATGCCAATGTGGTTTGCTCATGTTTGGGGTCCTCGGCACACATGACCATCGAGAGTCTGCCTCCCAGAACGACGGTGTGCTTCACACCTAATGCTTTGTAAGTCGTGAGTAGTTGCAGAAGGTCAATCTGCAAGTATCGACCTGGTTTCCCCCTCTCCAAGTTACCCTACTGAATTTTACTCCAAAGCAATTCAAACTCCAAACACCAGCACAAGCGAGAAGTTCGTTGGAAATCTCCTTGTCCATGTTGGCTTACTGGAACTGGGCACCAGCGGAAGTCAATCTTTGCTGCCCCGAAGTCCTATGCTTGGCGAGGGATCCTATATCAATCAGTCATGGTGGGAACCTCATCTCCGCAACTTGCGCAAAGAGTGACACCCAACAGCCATTCCTTGAAGCGGGGTACCGGGCGGTTGGTTTGTGTGACCAAGGCGAAGCATGCACACATGCCGAACCATGCCTGCAACCCCAATCGAAACGAAACAAACACAAGGAAAACCGAAGCAAAACTGATGGAAAACAAAAACGACCTCCCGCGAGCCAGGAAATGAGATGTACAACAAGACGACCACCCTCCTCATCTCCCCCCAATTGAATATCCACCTCTCGAGATAGCCGATTTACACCATGACCATGATAGTCGCTACTATGTTGCTACTAGTAACAAGGTGCCTTACTACTAGTAGTCTGGAACTGAGCTGCGGAACCCTCGAACCCATCCCAGTTTGGCGCGTCCTCGCCTTGCGGCTGCAGGGCAGGAGCCGCCGCCTGGAAGGTCCCGGTGCCCAATTCTCAGGTGCGATGGGAGATGGGAGATGGAGAGTTCGCGGACCTGAGATGTTTTGGGGAACAAAAGAACTCAGATGGGGAGTTCCAAGAAAAGCTCTGCAGCATGCCCCAGTCTGGCGAGTTGCAGGGGATCTGAGATCGGGACATTTTTGGAGCAACACATGGGAGATCATGGGAGGATTTTGTAGCGGCAGCCTTTGATGCCTTGAAGTGGTATCCAGTGGATTTGAGGATGTTCTGAAGCTGCTTCGCTTGTGGATCCTGCCGACACATAGCGCACGCTTGGTGGCGCCATACTCGTAGGGTGAAAGAAATGCAATGTTTGCAAGTCTGAGTCCAACTCATGCAGACAGAGCAGTTTGTGCTTCTAGTGCTGTTCGCATGCTGTTCTCAATTCTTGGGATCTTCATCAAAAAGTAGGTAGTTCTTACCCCGTTTGGAGCCGCCTCGTGCCGTTGAAGTTCTGACTCAAACGGCTATCTCGCATCAAAATAAACCTGTGGTCAGCTCGTTGTGGTGCATGATTATGATGATGCGGCGAACCTGGTCTGCCGATCATTTCATCAACAGGAAACATCCAATTGGTGCCAACAGCGAACTTCAAGAACCCTTTTTGCAAACTTCAGTGTAGTGAGAGACGTTAGAGTCTACTAGTGCCCTCCAGTTGAGGCCCTTAATCAGGATGTTTCGATGTTTCTGCAAGGATTCTGCTCAGAGCTTTTATGCCAGGAGCCAGACATTGCATCTCCGGAGGACATTCTGAACTCCTACTCATCCCAATTGGATGCCAATGTGGTTCCTTGCCAAGAAACGACAGAGACACGGCGTCGCCGTTTTTGTTCTTGGGAGTCAGCTGAATCACTGAAAAGGGTGCAAAACAAAGTAAAAGGAGACACAATGGACATCAAGTGAGATATGATCCAAGTCATTTAACGCGTGGCGTTGTCCATTGGACATGTTGTCCAGGTTTTCCAGAATCTAATCATTATTCTTTGATTCTATCAGACAAGTGCAACATATTGTGAAAACAAAATCTTAGAAGCTGCCAGAGAGATCTCGTACCACTGCGGCCATGTTGCTCTCGTTCTCAGGCGTCCTTCCTGCAGAAGTCGCCCACAGGTGGAGCAGTCTCGACGAAGACTGTTCGGTTTCCGGGGGTACTTCAGATGTTGAGAGGATAAGAGGACAGTAGACCCTTGATTGACCCCCATTTGGATTGAAACATCTTCATAGAGGGGGATTATGATCACGAGTCTACATCTTTGTGTTCTAGCTTGGATTGGGGTACAATGGCATATGGGCCAACCATGCCAGTCGTTTGAGGCACTATATAGATCCTTTTATGCGTCGATTTGAGGGTCCTTGGTCACGAACAAAGGCAGTTGTGCTTCTGTGGCAATCCTGAACATATACACCAAACCTATGGGATGTCCATCTAGTTACATTATAATGCTATATATAGACACATACTCACAGAACACAAAACCTCACGGAAGACTTCTCAGAGAGGAGGTCACGCAGGTTACACAGAACCCCTTCTTTGCCTCGCAGATTCTCCCACACTGGGGTGGACTGAAGCTTTTGGACACGGGGACCGAAGCTGATTTTGCACTGGAGGTTTTGATGCCAGCTATGCTGCCAACATCGCCAGCATGGAGCGGGAAACAGCAACCCTTTGCCCTTGGACTCAGGGCAGGTTTTCTGAAGGACCTTGATCGGCCTTCTTTGCAGCAAATCCTCATCTTCGGGATGACTGGAGATATAGACAAAGATTTGGCAGCAAAGTTTCAATAAAGAGATCGTTGGAGACGCCCGTGTCATTTAGAGACCGTTTGAATTAGGATATCGTTTCATGGATTGTCAAACATCAAATGTTTGAGAGACCGAGATCCCACTCCTGTCGTTTGGACGAGGCAGTACACATCCACGGCAACGAAAGAAATCGATGGCATACTGGGTCGTCCTTCCTAATTGTCATGCACATGTGTGCCCCTTCCCTCCAATGAATCATGCTTCGAACGTGCAACATGTTTGATATGCATATTTCCCTGCCAGAAGGATGAAGGGCTGTCGATAAGGTTTGGAGGAGCAGCAACGCACAGGTGAACAAACTGTCGGAAAAAGGGGGAGACTTGCAACTATTGCTTGCTACACGTCCATGCAACAAGCTAGTTTTGAACCACAATGGCTGGCAACAACTCTTATCCAATTGAACTGCTTGTCAACTTCCCAACATACTGATTTCCCGGCGAAAAGATTCTGGCTTGTACCCGTCGTAGTCGAACACACCTTGGCAAGTATATCAAATCATACATCCACTGGTTTCAACCAGTCGAGCCAGACAGGCTCCAATGTGAAGCCATGTGACTAGCTGGTGCTCGGGAGGGAGCGTCTGAGAGTCGTCGGGGGTATCCATATTCTCAAACATTCTCCACTACACAGGGAGCCACTTTTGAGCTTGAGTTCCCCAACCCCCAAGCTAGGTGAAACCTCTTTGACTGAGTAGAGGTGAGTAGAGGCTGAGCCAAAGGAGCTTCCGATGGGTGAAGCGTCTACTCAGCTGGGTGTGGACCACCTACTCAGCCTCTGAGGGCTACAGAAGGAGCTGTCGGAGCTGACCGAGCTGATGAGGAACCGCGAAGCGGAAATGCGCCTCGAAGCGGTCGCGGTCGTGCCGCGCCCGACCGGACTGGGAGCGTTGGTCCGCACCGGTGGATGGAGTGACGAAGTCGAGTCCAGAAGGTTGGAATCGACATACCTGTCCAGTGGAGGCATGTCATGGCTGTGGGTTACCAGGAAAAAAACGTCGGGGACACCACCTCCGGGAGGTCCAGAGGTCAACCCGAGTCAACCCACGGAGGGCCAGGGTATCGGTCGTGCCACCCACAGACATAGATGTGGGGAATCGTTTGGAACCTGGATCAAGTCGTCATGGAGGAGTTGGTCAATTTCTTGAAGAAGGCAACCTGATGCAGATATGGGGTGAATTGGTGTCGGTGTGGGTCTGCCTGGACTTGTGAAGTGGTCCCCTGGTTGGACAGTCATCTAGACAGGTCATCGCGGATAGATTGGAATGATGACGGATGGTTCTTTGGGTGCTCTGCAGCTTTGGTTGGGGGGTAAGCTGGGGAACTGAAATGCTTGAATCAGCAAGCATCAGGACATACCAAGACAGGTTTGGGGCATGAACTTCTTGTTTTCGTTTGTTTCACGAAGAATCACGGATTGGATGACAGGCACGAATGGCGTTTCTCAGGCAACAGCTGGACTGGCAACTTCAGGCAGCGCTTTGTGCCAAACAACTGCCGCTCCAGGGACTCCAGGCCAGCCTGAGGGCGGTGGAGGGGGAGGAGGCAGTAGGACGTTTGGATGTTTTTTATGTTTCTGGGATGATCTTTGGAATGGTTAGGGCCAATGAGGTCGTTGATGAAGGATTGTGGCCACTTCACATCACTGGTGGCTGCTTCCAGGATACAAACCAAGACAAAGAGGAATACGGAATACCACTCTAAACCAGGGGTGTGAAAGATTCAACATGTAGACCTAGATTTGGAGGGCCTATCTCCATGTTCTTGTGGCACCTGAGGTACACAGCTGAGGACAATTTTTCCCGGTGCATTCCCCAATGGCACGTCCCTTTTTCTACCACCTTGATCTATGCTTCCATCACTGAACCCGCCAGAAAGTCGTCGGAACGCGGAACGCCACGCCGTCGCCATCCGTCATCGTAGGCGCAGACGGCGGGGATTGACGTGCAGATCTTCAACCTGCAAAGCCAACTGAACCATTTGATGTCTGCTCTCAGGAGAAAGCATCAGCCAAGAGAGCGGCTTTCTCTTGCAGAAGCATAGCCTATCTCATAGCCTATCAACGTCTATCAACGTTACTCGTGTGTCACCGTGTGTGTGGCACTGTGATGTGTGTTTGTTAGCCTCAGCGGCGGAGTCACAATAATTATTTGTTAGAAGCAGAAGAAGCAGTATGAAGAGACTCTTTCTCAACGGGGCTTTAACACCTCAGGGATTCCCCTTCTTATCCGCACGGTGAGAAGTGTCACGACTGGGATTGTGTCACCTTCCCACTGGCCAAGTCTCAGGTTTTGTCAGCGTCCTTTGCTGAGTGGCCACATGGGGACGCACTCTATATATACCTGCTACCCTGGATGGATACCCATTCCAGTCCAGGATGCTAAAAGCTTTTTTACAAGTTCTCCCAACATTGACGTCCATCTTGTGAATTCAATGAAATCTATTGATATATTTGAGTGTTGTGAAATAGACCAAGTTCAGGGATTACGGTAAACACGTCCTGGACAACAATTCTCGTCCTTGCATTCCAAAAGACAACAATTAGCAACATGGACAACAAAAGGTGGTTATAGATGTTCTCACTAGACATGTTGAAGATTCATGAAACACATTCATACAACAGAGCTCTCCTTCTTTGATCATGAATCTTGAAAGAACAGCCAAGTCGTTCCATGAAAAGACAGCATCACCAGACCTCCATTCCGGATGGATTGGCCGCTCTGGGGACAGATGCTGAACAGGAGCAACCAGATGGTGAACAACAATGCAGCCCAGCTCCCGAAGGTGCAGGCGTTTCTCCACCCCTTCTGGGGTGTCTTGAAATCGGCGTGGCAGAAACGATTAACAGGTCCAAAGACTTTCCATTTCAGGTTGAGCGTGGCCATAGTGTAGATATAGAACAGGGATGAAGAGGGCATAGTGACCTGTGTCGATTCACGCCGGAACTGGGGAACCGGACTGGACGAATGGTGCGACTTCGTCGGGCAGGTTTCAGAGAGGAAAGGAGATCACCCACAGGTCGTGCGCACCAGGTCGTTGAACCTTTGGAGTCCTGGAAAAGGTGAACGCATTTGGCGCGGCGGAAACTGGACGTTTGGGTCAGTCATCCACCGGACTGAACTGGAGCCCCGAGGTTCGCGTTCAAATTCCGGTCCTTTGGGGTCTCATCATGATGGAACTCCGAGGATATTTTGAGACCACAAGCAAAACAAGGTGGTCCATCATTGGGTGGTGGACCCCACTTTCTGTATGTGGACCTCCAGCCGGGAAGACCTCCCATTTGGTTCATGTTTCTTTTCAACCAACCCACTGGGCTGGTCGTTGGTTCTGCCCTCGCTTCAGCATTCTGCACCCAGTTGTCTCGTTTTCGGTGAACCAACGAACAAACGAAAGGCCTCCGATGAGAAGTTTGACGAGGACGGGGCGGGAGAAGTGAGTCGGAGAAGTCTAGGTTATTTCGATGGGAGTCTCGGTTCTGCATCCACTCCATCTGAGTGGACTGCAGTGTTTTCAGATTTTCAGAGTAGATGGCGCGGACCTCAGGACGTCCTGGAAAGATGGGGGTCCACAAAAAGGACAATCTTGGGTTAACTTGTGCCATCTACTCTGAAACCAATTATATATATATATTATATAGTACATATATATATATATACATTATGTCTACATTGACCCCTCTTCAAGCACATGTCGGTGCTCTATGCCAGTTCCTTGGAGTGACACACGAAGGTCTTGTCAGTGCACCAGGACTTGTGTGGATACAGAAGATCCGAGGAATCGATCAAGCGAGTATTGGGAGACAGCACCAATCTGAACATGGAGCTGTTCAAGACTTCAAATGATGACAGGTGGGGTCATTGACTTGTATAAAGATCCAGAGACCCACTATATATATACTCCAAGAAGGTGGCTAGGGATGTTCGGATGGGCTCGATGCAGAATGAACCACCTAGCGCTTGCAACAAGGCTTCATGTCATTAATACACGAGAAGCAGGTGCCATTTGATTTATTGAAGTGCTGTAGATGGTTTGACTGGTGTTATTTTTTCGTTTCTGTCTACTTGTACCATCAGTTTTGCAAACAACCATAAGAATGTGTGCGAGTGTGTGCGAGTCCTTGAGATAAATTTCTCAACAACGAGGCGCGGTGTGCTTTGGCATGGGGGTTCAATGACTAACCCTAACTCGCAGCAACAGTAGCCGGTCAACTTTGCAATGTGTTGCTTGATCCAAATTCAATCATCAAGTCATGTCAAGCCCAGAGAGCCTATGCCTCTTCTTTGGCCTCCGAAGAACAGGTGGACGTTCGGCGGTCTGCGTGGCGATCGATGGATCAGGATGATGTCTTCACTGTGATGATGCGCAACATTCCCAACAAGCCCCTAGATGCGAAAGGACGTTGGTTCCCTCGAGTCGGACAGTCGATTGATTGATGGCCCTTTCGTTGCCATCAACAGATGCGAACATATGGCCCTTTCGTCTACAGAGATAGGGATTGGATACATTGGGTACATAAAAATTCTGACGATGTTTTGTCCAGAGCACATCCGTGAAATACCGCTTGAAACATAGACAGGCCAGTTGTTTGGATGATTCCCAAAGGGAAACCACCTAGCTGACATCTTCAAGTCTAAGATTTGCTTCTCAGAGCAAACCATCCAAGTGAATCAACTATATATATATATAGACACTCTACAAGTATAGTAGGTCTTTACCCAAGTGAATGTTCTGCTAAAGATGTTTCTTTGCCCACCCATGCCACTGAGCATTGCCACTTTCAGACTTCTCTGGTGGCATGACGCGTGCACCTTCAGGGTTGTTCACTCTATAATATTTATTGGGTGTTCAATAAAATCGGCGAAGTGATGCGACGTGATGTGAAGTTATTTTGCTGACATATGCAGAGAACGAGAGTGAAATAAGCACTGCTGACTGTGCTGAAAATGATTTCACAGCCTAGAGTCATTCTTGAGAATGAACCATTCCCTGCAAGACCTTACTGGGTGCCCATCAGTGTTTGTGACACCTCTCCAGTGGTCGAGCGATGTCGATCCCTATGTCGATCTGGTTTTGCTCCGAGGTACACACAGCGGATGCTGATTGATGAGGTCAATGAGGCCGGCTTCAATGGATCCTATGCCACTTGGCAGTACGGAGTGACGATGGAATTCCGATTATGGAATTCCGGACTCCGAAACCAGGGAACAGAGAGGGGTTCTTTTGCCTTTGGCTTCAGCACACGCTGGCGGAGCCCCTGGATGGCCCTGGATGTCCCTGGTGTTTTGCAGGGAATTGCGATTTTACCAAGGATAATCCACTGCAATCTGACCTTTGCCCACCGGTGTTTACTATAAAGCTTGTCCACTACAAATATGGATTTGGGGCAGGGCTAAGTGGGCTAAGTAGGGGATTGCTCGTTGTTTCGTGTTGCTTCCGTTTTTGGGACCCACGAAGAGCTTCGTCGGCACCCAGGACTTTGTTTACTTGCCTATTGCAGGGAGCCAAGTGTGGGCGGGGCGGGCGGGATTGATTTGTTGCATCCATGGATCACGTACTGTCCTCCTGGATTCATTTGTTTTGACTCGGTTTTATTGGAACATCGTCACTTCCCACCTCCTCGAGCTGGAATTGCTTAGCTTGTGGGTGTTTACTCGGGAGAAAAGCAAATAATTGGGTCAGTCAGTTTCTTCATCGTGAGTTGGAGTTGAGGGCGACGTGTCAAAGGCAACTGATGTGGGTTGTATGTTTCAAACATTGTGCAGTTCACATGGGTTCAATGCCACTGGCAGGGGAGTAAGGATGCGTCGAAATTGTGCCATTTCATTTTGTCCTTTAAACTGTACAAATCCTGGTTGCTTCAATGACTCCACTCTTATCAATGACACGATTCTTCATGTTTGTTCAGACTATTATAGCAAAAGAATCAATGTCCGGCACCAGTCACCAGTTTCTCGGAGGAACATGCGATCGAACACTTGTTGTTCCTGGAAGATCACAAAAGAATAACGATGAGATGCAGCATTCCCCATCATTCCCCCATGACTCCAGAAAAATCCTTGATCATCCTTGATCTAAGGACAAGGATTCGGGCGCCAACAAGGGCTACGCCTTTTTGAACTTCGTCCGTTGGGGGCCCCGCCCTCGCGATCAGGAGCGATCCCGGATCGTCCCAGTCTTCCAGTGCCCATGGAGTCGCAGGCCGACTCTGACCTGAAGAAGGTCTTATGCAAGTTAGTAATAGCAATGGCCTCCAACCATCTCCAACCTTTTAGCAATGGCCTCCAAACTACTGGAAATTGCCTCCAACCAAATAGCAATGGTCTCCAAACTGCTAGCAATGGCCTCCAACCTAGAAGCAATGGCCTCCAAACTACTAGCGATGGCCTCCAACCTAGAAGCGAAGGGCTCCAACCTGGTTCTATATGCCTGTGGGTCATGGCACTAGGAGATGGACCGGTTGACCTATATACCTGTAAGGTTGGTCGCGGCAAATGGTGGACTGGTCGGGCTCCAGGTTTTGACTCATCCCCATATGAGCAACCACTTTATTTACAGTGGTTTTACTAAAGTAGTCTACGTCATGCTCTATTATGATCAGTATTCGCTTTTGAACGAGATACGGCCCCCACATAAACGAGATACATTGCTTGATGACGACATTAAAATATAGTCAGAATGAGATAATGTGACCTGCTACTAAAGTAGTTTGAACGAGATGTTGTGACATGACCATGACCTCCTACTTAAGTAGTCTTAACGAGATAGGGCCCCACATAGTAGATAGTGTATATGCGTTTACTACCAAATAAAAGCGGCCGCACATATATTCACGCCGCTCCGCGGCAAGGTCTGCCCGCACCGCCATGAAACAGTTGCCCAACAAAAACGACGAATAGCGAGGTTTTTGAGGTTGACGTTGCCAAAAACGTCACTACGTATATACCGTATTTTACAGTGTTTTTTATGCTTTGTGAGGCAGAAACCACTGCAAATAGTGATGTTTTTGAGCTTGCCGTGGCCCAAAACACCGCTACTTACAGTGTTTTTGAACCTGCTGTCAAAAAACACCGCAATTTGCGACGTGTTCAACAACATGGTCGCCAAAAACACTGCTATTTGCGAGGTTTTTTACATTTTCGCGCAAAGAACTCAAGCCTCGGCAATTTAGAAAGACGCTGCAAAAACCAATGTTTCTGCACAACAAAAACGGCGAAAGCCGTCACCCAAACAGCTCCGAAATCACAAATTCTGCCCCCCGGCCTCCCGACAAGACACATGGAAAAAATACACGTCTCAAAGCCGAAAACCTACGAACAAAAGTCAAAACCCACATGATAACACATGTTTTTGTCACTTTGCTCTTGCCGGCTCCGGGCGGGCGCGTGCACGAAGTCCGCCAAGTCCGCCGTAGTGACCTATGTTAACCCATGAGTTGGCCAAAGAATAGGGCCCCCCCGCAGGTAAACCTGTACCTTACAGTTGTTTATGCCATCCGGATGATCACGCCCTGAGCACCTTCGGCGCGGGCGGATTTCTTTGAGGCTCCACGGGAATGTAATGACGCACGTTTGCACACTCAAAACAGTAGGGCCCTGCGAGTTTAGGTGCTTGGTCTACCACGCCTGTCAGTCGAAACGCACTTCGCAACCGGGACCTCTCGGAAGTGCACGAAACACTGCGCCTGTCACGTATTTTACATGTTGGCTGGACGCGCTGACATGCATTCTGAAGCAACGCAGCGTTTTCGTATGAGAATTTCCATATACTCAGGGACGTGCGCGACGCATTGTGCCTGCCGCGTATTTTGGTCGTCCGAACAAGAGGTGGGGGTGGGTGGTGGTGGGCTCGGATATTAACGTCATGTTCGCTTGCGCAGGGGTATCGACGAAACTTGCTGGGCAGAGTTGCTCCTAGCATGTCCCACTTGACTCAGCTGGCAGTTCGTCATCTGTTGAAGAATCCAGGTCTTGACACAGTCCTTGAAGCTTTCGAGCAATACCGGCTGAGTCGAGACTCGCACGTTGGGTGTCCGCCATCCGAGTTTGCAGACCCCACTCACGACGTAGCATGGCTGTACAACTGAAAAAAGAGCTCATGGAACGGGATGGTCAGGCGGGTTAGAGTTCACTCCAAAAAACAATACGAAAGCACTGTGAAATCGTATTTCTATGGGGGCAGCATGTGTCATGCGTGTCGATACAGGCCCGCCGGGCGTTATTTTGAATGCGTTGTTTGAATGCGTTATAACAATGTGTGTGAAGTTCACTGTGCAGTCTGAAGCCGAACAGAACAGAACACGACTAGGGGTGGGAAGCAAGAGGAGCTCAGGAGGATTGAGGAGGATCATGCCCCAGCTAGAACTGCAGACCTCAACTTGTCAACCCTGACGGTCGAGTGATGTTTGAATTTGTAGACGCGTCAGTCAGCATGAAACATGAGGGCAAGAAAACACCGAAAACAGTGCCAACAGCAGTCCAACTTGCAGATGTTGCGAGTCCAGATGCCAATGCAGCCCGTTTTGTTGCATACGTCCATATGGCGGTGTTTGTTTGACTTGTCCCATGCCACTATCCCTGAGGGCGCCTCCTTTGTTTAGCAGTTGCGTCCTACATCCTACTGCCAACAACCTACGTGTTTCTCGGAACTCGGAATTTTCATCGATTAGCTCGAAACATCGGACATCATCGAAGCTGGATGACGAAGTCGGCATCCCCAAAATCGCATCCGTCTGACGGACTGGTCCTCCGATGACTTCGTTGAAGGACGTCGTCTCACCAGGCGAACGAGACAGGTTGGAAGAGAAACAGTTTCGAAAGACACCGGACGAAATCAGGGAAGTGTTATTGTTCTTAAACCAGACGAATCCAGGAACATAATGTTATATATTATTAAAAAACAGGACCCATCGCCCATCCGGAAAATGTTTTTTCGCCAACCGAAACGTCATTGGTCCAAAACTTCCAAAACCGTGTTCCGGACGCTTCGGACGTTCTGTGAGTGGGTCGAGTGTGGCACTTTGGTCCCACTCGTGGAACCTGCTGAGGTCCGAGTTTTGCTTACGCCTTCAAGCCGGGTCCACTCGGCGGTGGGAGTGCCAATCGAGGATTTTGGGTGTCAATGCATAAATATATATATATAAGTGTATAAGATTGTATAAGATATATATATATATAGTTAATTTAATGTTCAGACTACGGACGGTATATGTGAGGATGTCATCCTGAAGTCCTGAAGTAGGGATATATATATATAGATAGATTGTTTGAGCGGCCCTTGGGCCTCCCATAGCTGTATCAGTCAGCATGAGGTAGCAGCAAGCCTGCACTCGAGGGAGCCACAAGACTCAGTCTACCATGCAAATCGCATCCTGAGGATGGCCTTTGATGGAAAGCATATGGCGCAGTTCAAGTCCAATAAGATTGTCACTGTGTGGTCCTCAACTAACTGGCAGTGTGTTTTGATTTGATTTGCTTGGCCCTTTTTTGATCTTTTTTGGGGCATCGCATCGCATCTTGGAGGTTTGGGTCATGGCACTGGCACCCGAAGTTCCGTCGGTTTGTTACTTTGGATGTGTTTAATCATTGTTGCTGCGGTTTGCATTAACTGGTGTACTCAACAACCAGTTTTGCTCTGAGAGCGATGCAATCATGTGGCAATTTGCATCTATAGTTGTGGTTCACTATGTTTCACTCCCTTTACAGCACTGTAGTGTATAATGTATTATGAAAAGTATTGAAGCAAAAACACACCAACCACATTCCTAACACATGCGCGTTGGAATGTGTTATCAGTTTACAGAGTCTAGCAAACACAAATGAACACAGTTCAATCACAGATGTGTTTCAGATTTATTGTGATGCATTAGCATTGACAGGCTTTAGCTAACACACACTAACCTTGTGTGGAATGTGTCTAGATATATATATATATAGATGCATTTGGGTCTCATATATGACTTGCCTGTTGCTTCCTGGTCTTCCAATATGCGCTGGTTTCGATACGTTCTCGATCAAACTTCCATTTGACCCTTGCTGTTTTAAGTCCATGTGCATCGCCTTGTAAAATGCAAGAACTCTTGAAGTTAATGAATTTACACACGTTATAAAACAAAGCTGCGACTTGTTACTGTTAGGTCAACTTTGATAACTTAGTTTATCTTAGTTGTAAGCATTAGTACAGCTTCCAACAAACATATATATATAGTCCTTTTTGGTTGGTCGCAGCACTGTGTAGGAACCTTTGAACATCTATATATTTAAACCCGGTCAGCTACCTAATTGACCATCGTGACTTAGACTTTCCTAACTCATTTAGTTTTGCCTCCTTCCAAGGATCTTTAAATTCTGGAATCATGATGGCATTGATCCGTTGATAGCTTCTTTTGCGGTTGTTAGATACGGCAAACAGTTTCTGAAGATGTGTTGAATCAAGATCAATACGCAATACGGTATTGGAGTACGTGTTTTTTACAGGTGCCGGAGGTCAGACATGTATTTTCAGCATTGTGGGGCTAAGTTCCCAGGTCCTCAGATCATGCTTCTGGCCTAAAGTCGAACGACCGCCTAAACGCCAGTTTTACGCCGCCCAACGGTCGCCCGTAAACGGCTGCTCGGTGCATGCCGATCGCTCAGGTGGCCCCTGCAACGATCCAAGGCTTTCAAGCGAACTACGAGCCGTGGGACCCAGGGAGGTCCGTGCCAACCCGTGGAACACGGGATGTCCATAAAATCCCGCCAGGCCAGGTCTGACCAATGGGTGAGGAAGTATTTTATCAACATGATTCTCCTGGGGTGGTGTTGTTATTTGTTAAAATCCATGTCAGTATGCATAGGTCTACATGACAATTTCTTCTATATCCACTGAAAACACAGGAATCCACATCAGTGTACTTTCTAATTTGTTTATACTGCAAAAAAACGATATCTGAGCGTGGTGGGTCAAAAAGCACCTGGGTATCCAGTACCCAAGTGAACACCTGCAAAGAAAGATAGACTAGTGCCAGTAGGAAAAGTCGATGCGCAGAAATGAACAATGCCTTTTTTGTGGTTTCTTGGTTTTTATTATCGTAATTCACATATTCTTGTTTCTCACACCTTCTCAGAAGGTAGCTTGGCCCGATCCCTGCAAGACAGACGACTTCTCCCACCCTCTCGGAAGGGCGTTGAGATGTGCCGAGCGTTTAGACCAGTGTTCTGGAGGGTTCGTCCGGATTGTTTGGGGTAAGTATAGGGATACATTATCGGATACATAAAGATTCAAAAGAGTCCATATACTATATTTGGATTATACATTATATATAATAACATAATGTATATGTAATATACTATATACAATTACATGTATACATCATATATCCAAAGATACAAAGGGGATCTGTGAAAGTCCACAGGTGTTGAAGCTCCTTTTGGCTGCGGCTTCAGCTCTACGGATCGGACGAAGGGACCCTGAAAGATCGAATCAGCCTCGAGTCACCCCCATCGAGTTCAACTAGGGTCAGCCAAAGTATGCGGGATAAGAAGCTACTAGGAACAAGTGCCACGCTACTAGGAACAAGTGCCTTACTAGTAGTAACAAGAAGCTAGTAGAAACAAGTGCCACGCTACTAGGAACAAGTGCCTTACTAGTAGTAACAAGAATTTATTTTAATTTTAATGCCAAGGGTGAGTATTTTGCAGGACTGGGGGGTCGTTGATGAACATTGCTCTCACCATGTACGTGACCTGCATGACACATTTCATACCCAAGACAAATTGATTTTGTGAGTTGCAACCTCGTGTTTGGCGACTTCCGATGGTCCCACTTTTCATGAAGAAGCATGGATATGGTAAAGCTGGGCCGGTGTCCCTTGGTATTTTGATGGACTGGTTCTCCAATAGGGCGGGATTCCTGGTGCACATAGAATGAGTGTGACTAAGGCTGTTGGAAGGGATTTGTTTTGTTTCTTTTTGTGTATGTCTGGCTGGAACGCAATGACGACGATGGTCGTCGCCCGGGTTCCGGTCGTTCCCCGGTCGTGACTACGTCGGACTGGAGGCATTTCTCACGGACTCGAGTGAACTACGGCGTTCGCGAGCTCGGATGGGTTGACGGTCGGGAGATGGAGATGAGTAAGGGAGATGGGGACTGTCCTGCCACGCAACCCGCGTTTTGGGGTCACGAGCTTTCCGGTTCCATGGTGATCATGACGTTCTCCTATGGAACCACGCAATCCCGTCCAGCAACTTTTGTGGTCATTTTGTTCCGCTCAGAGAGGGATTTGATTGTTTGACTTAGCCAAGCTTTGCCTTTCGAGTTCGTTTTTTGCACCATCCAAAGAGGAACAAAGTTCCTTGTATGAGTGTTTGTCGTGATTTCATGTTGTTCCTTGCCATTGCATGGACTTGGTACCTGGTCAAAGTTCGATCCTCCCATTCTGTGAACAGCTTTGTTTTACAAGAAGTGTACTGCTTTGCTCACTCTCTCTCTCTCTCTCACAGAATTCGATACTGTGAACGGATTCAATGATCTAGAATCTACGCACAGGATTATTGATCATGATTGATCCTCAACACAAGCCTCAGCCACACTGAACCCTGAACCCCCTGTGCGAATACTTGTTTGCATGCCCAATGCCCATGGCTGCCTTAGAATGGACTTGGTTCCACATGTTCCCACTACTTATATGCAAACACGTCGGGAAGAAAACAACTTAGGCGACCTAGGACACCTTTGGCCTTCAAGATGCCTAAAGTCTATGAAGTGCCAAGGTCTTTGTTTGTGTCGACTTGTCCAAGGTTGCGCCGGTGGCCGCCACGTCCCATTCACCCGTTGGTGATTTCCGGTTGCGCGTCCGCGGTTGTCCGGACGTCCATCTACTTGAGAAACTGAGGACCCAGACAGCCGGCCTTTGTTCTTGAAAAAGAAGGCCCGATTCCGCGCTTTTTGCACGGAAAGGACGACACCGGACGTCCCAACGTCGGGAATTCGGTCAAGGAACGGGGTGTGCAGCACTCGACAAGAAGTTTTGTTGTGACGTGCATGTACTTGAATGGGTGTGTACTTTTTATAGGGAGATCCCCAACCAATGGTTTTGGCTACTTTCCTTCTTCCTGGGGGTCTTTGAGGTCGCTCGATTAAAAAAGACACATCCATATGAGAGGTCGCCTGGTTTGGCTGATCGGAGAATGTGGAATCCATATTTTCCCGAACTGGTTGAATCCCACACACCTGGGGAAGAGCTGCTTTTAGTTTGTCCCGGCTCCTCAAGCACCCTGGACCCTCCAAGTCTGGTCAACAGCTGGAATCCCAAAACAATGTCCCTTGTAGATCTCAAAGAGACAGTGATAGTAGCCCTTATTACTACTTATTACTAACAATTCCACTGTCCACTTGAGTTTGATGCATTCTGACTGAAAAATGATTTCGAGGAGACTTCAACGTACACGTAATCCTTGATGGTCCATGGGATCTTCGCGGAGTCATCATCCATGAAGCCACGTGTGGCCATGAAGCCATTGTATGATCCAGCGTGTACTACACGGGCGCTCAGATGTACCAGAGCTTGCGCAGAGCAGGAAGTTCTTCCATCACACCTATTCAGATGTACCAGTGTCCAACCAAACCTGGGGGATGGTGGCTGAACCGTCCCAAAACTTTAAATCGGATTTGGGTATATATTGCAGCTCGGTCCCATCCCTATGAATAGACATTAAAACGTTCACCCTATTCTTGCTGGAGGTCCCCACTTAGCATCATGATCATTTTTGTTATCATTCTTTATCGTGATCACCCACTAGTGATTCCTACCATTGTTTTAAGCCACATATGCTGAACATCAAAGATTTAATGTCCACATCAAAGCTTTGAACGTGTCCCACGTTTTAAAATAGATGGATTGCAGAATTGATCAAGAGTTGCGGAGGACACATGTTGGACATGATGTTTAAAAGTAAGGACACTGCAACAGTATTTATTGTTATAATTTCCGCAATCCACGACTATTTGTTGATATATGTTGAAGGATTGCGTGGTTTACATCATCATTTATACAATTTAAATATGTCAACGTTTCTTACACTTGTTATACCATGGGCTCGCATCGCGACCTCTTTTTATGCAGTGGCAGAAGCCAGTACGCTGATAAATACTGATACATAGATGGATCCATGGATGGCAATGTATATATGTGTGTTTATGTAAAGCCACTCTTACAACGGCAACATCACCATTTGTACAGCGGAATGGACGGAAGCATGGTCTCTGAAGTTGTGAGCTTCTGACATCGCATTGCCTGATCCTTGCTTATACCCATATCCTGTTTCAATACCAAGACATGTTCAAGACAGGAATGATGGGAGTAGTCGGTTGGATGAGTATGGATCATGGATGGATGGATGGATAGATGGATGGATGGATGGGCTAGTTGGATTGAAGTCCATAGATCAACATTTGTTAAACAGGCATGTCAGGTCATGTCTATGCTTTAAATGCCGGCGGTCAGCCTCTGAACAAATCCCTTTCCAGCGCCTCCCCGTTTGGGCGGGCTGGCGCCAAACTCGTGCATGTGCTCCTCACCGAAGGATCGACGGAGCTCCGCCACCATGTGAAGATTTTCTGAGTCCCGCTCGAGCCAAAAGCCCAGCATTGAGGCTTTCAGCAAAGCGGCCAAAACTGGTCACAAGTCTCTGACTCTTGAGCTACACAGTCCAAAAACTAACTTCTAAGCCAAAGAACCAACCAAGAAGCAATCTGCTTGAGACTCTCCAATTAGGCTTGGACCACCTGATTCGCAGAGCAGCTCCCAGTAGGTGATGTTTTGGATGACCTGAAGATGTCACAGATGAACTGAGAAAACTCACCACAAAATTTTCCAAGAGATATGGTCCAGTGAATGCAAAGAAGCATCCAATCCCTGAATGTGTCAAGTCCGGGCTTGGGTGTCATAGCCACATGCCAGTTGAATGAAATTCGGTATGTGTCCTGTGATGTCCTTCGACAATGTTTTTGCTTGAAATCCTTATAACAATAGTGTGCTCAAACAAAGGGACGCATCCTCTTAATTGAAACTTGAACATACGATATGCAACTTGAACAAACATGGTGCTTGGTCTTTGTGTTTTTTTTTGTGTTCACTTTGATCTTCGTTTCATTTTAAGCTGTTGGATGGTTTGTCGTGCAACCAGCTGATAGCAATGCACTTTTACAGCGCCTTGACTTCCTGTTCAGCTTGAAGGCTGGAACCTTGAACACGCATCCTTATTGAGGCTTTGCAGTGGATTTCTCAAGAGGGCTATGGCTTTCGATGACAACTCACGACGCATCCATTAACAAACAAAGCGACACAGCGTCCTGCGTCCTAGCTCTTTGATGTGAACAAAGAAAGCGACACTCTTACAGCGTCCTCGGACGGGTGTAAAGAATATGAAATATTGGAAATGTCAAATTGGAGAATAGACAACTGTTCTACGGTGTCCTTCAACAATATGTTGAACACATCCTTTTTCTATGTGATGTTAAAGTCTTTGCAACAATGATGTGAACAAACACCGGGACACTCTTACAGCGTCCTCCAGCAACTCTTAAGGTTTGTTGAATGTAATCTCAAAATTTCAATATGCTGCCATACATTTTCTCAAAAGGTGCCCTTACTTTTCAGCATTGAACTGTAAAGGAACATGTTTCAATCATGTGTTCTATCCTTTTGTTAATCTTTTTTCAGAACCACTCTCCCCTCACTCTGGATCAATCTCGCAATATATAATTGTTCAAAATGTAGGACAATTTCAAACTTTAGTGTGGAAATTCTACATTTGAGGTTCAGCATCATTAGAACATCGAACCTTCACACAACAAAATTGTAAAAATGGCGAAGGCTTAAAACAAGGGTAAGGATTGGGATGGGCATGGACGGGCTGATCCTATGTAAAACCATGTATCCATGCGCAGAGGCTTCAGGAAGATCAGAATCAATGTTGGACTGCGGGTGTTGCGTTGCCACTGAATCCGCAGAATGGGACGTGTGGAACAAGACTGAGACCATCGAAAGGAGAAGACTGAGACCTTCATCCTTCATGCGATCGAAGATTGATGTCCTGTCCGGCCGAACACATTGGAATCGACGATTCCTGTTCGACCCGGACGAGTGTTCTGTCTCCCGGACCTTTGGGTGTGTTGGTTTTGCTGAAACTGAGCTTGAAGCACATTGACAGCGAGCTGTCCAAGTCAGCGAGCTGTCCACGTTTTCTCGCGGAAAAAGACGTCATGAATCCGGGCCATCCGGGAACGCCACAAGTTCTTTCTACAGAATTCTTTCGATGGAGAATTCTTCTGACACATCTCATCTCATACCCTCATCCAATCGACTGCTTTCCCACCCCCGGTCTGCCTCCAGGCTGGGCGGGAGCCCAAGACGCCAGGAGGCTGAGGTCGCATTCGCGGGTGGACCCGCGGTTTCGCGGGAAGAGGAAGACGGTCTAAAGATCATAGGGTTGGAGAATCATTATTTAGTGGTGTTGTTTTATCTATTGTGAGAGGTGGTTGTTGTTTGGCTTTTGGGTGTTTTTTTTCTAAACAAAATGATTCAAGGGCATTTTGGGATGATCTCCTGAAGGAGTGATTATATATATATATATATGATGAGCAATTGTTGGAAAAATCATGTTGAAAGTTCGCATGACAAGAGGTGAGAGTGATGACCCATGTTTCACAGGAAAGGGAAAGAGTAGAAGTTCTTCAGATAGCTACTGGTTATGTAAGTACAAGTGCTTTGCAGCTGCCTTGAGTCAGTTTTTTCAGATACTTGGCTGATTGCATTAGATGACCAATGGAAATAGAGCTATTATTTGCCCAACATACTTCACCACACTATCCCTAAAATGCTCCATTACAAATCAATATTGATCATTATGATATATTATGATATATTATATTATATACTATTCTAACATATGCATCCGATTTAATCCTTGGAAACGGCATACACCAGTTCTTATGCACCTCATCGACGCCATGCACCAGTTCTCGTGGAGTCAGGGACCAGGACTTGCACAGCTCCAGCAAAGGGGGCAACGGAATTTCGCCGGCTGAGCCCACCATTGCGGGGACCGGAGGGCTGACGGGTGGGATTTCAGTCGGTCTTTCCCAGGGATGTTTCGCTGCACTTTCCGCAGCATGACCAAGCAAGAAATGCGAAGCTTTCGTGGGCCTAAGGGTCGGGTTCAGGAGTCAGGTCATGACTTGGGGTAGGGGCAGATAAGAGATTGATACACAGAGACCCACATGGAACCTGGC